GTGTGTGTGTGTGTGTGTGTGTGTGTGCGTTTGTGTGTTCGCGCTTTTTGTCACCAACTTTCAACTCGAGAACCAGAAAAGCTAGAAGGCTGAAACTTTGGAAGTATGTGCCCATACCATGTTCGATCCTCCCGTTTTAATTTCATCCCCCGCGGACACTTGGGTGCCGCGTACGGACTCTTTAAAAAAACATGCATATTTTCTGGCGGAAAAGCGATCTCGGAAACCACATGAGCTGAGGGGCTGAAATTTTTTAGGGATACTCCCTGTGCATGTACTAGCTAAAGATTTCGAATTCAGCCCCCAGGTATGCGTGGTGCTCACGTAAAGGAGCATGGAAGTTTTAGGGGGAAATTGCTAACTCGGGTACCGGAAAGCTGAAAAGCTGAAATTTTGGGGTGATGCTCCCTGTCGAAATACAACTCAAATATTTCAAATTCAGCCCCAATCTATGCATGGTTTTCACGTAAGGGTGTATGAAAGTTTTAGGGAGGAAATTGCTAGCTCGGGTACCAGAAAAGCTAGAAAACTGAAATTTTGGGAGAATGTTTCTTATCCAAGTTCAACTCAAATATTTCAAATTCACCCCCTTGCTATGCGTGGTACTCGCGTAAGGGCGTATGAAAGTTTCTGCGGAAAATCACTAACTCAGCAACCAAAAAGCTGAAATTTTAGGGGAATGTTCCTTGTCCAAGTGCAACTTAAGTAATTCAAATTCAGCCTTGAGGTATCAGTGCTTCTTACGTACGGGCACTTAAAAGCCATGACAAAAAAATTTCTCACTGAACAACTAGGTTACTTTTGAAGAATGACTGTTAGATGAAAATTGCACATTTATTTTGCAAAATTTATGGTGATTTATGCTAGTGACCGCAGAAAGTAGTTTTAAAGCAATAGCCATTAATACAGTTAATGATCTGAGTAAATCAAGTCTTGTGTAAAAACGCATGATCGCACGGCCCACCCGGTACCTTCCAGCCTGGGTTGCCTTTTAGTTTTAAAAATCAGGGAGGCGGAGTAAAATGGCCTTACTAAAGTGCTTTTGTCTGGAAGTGGCTGAGCTGATAATCTCTTCAGGAACAACATCACTAAGCTGTTTCCCTAAAAAGTGCAGATTGTTTAGTTCAGCTGGAAAAGTTGCCAACTGCATAACTGAAAGACAACGCTTGAATTGTACTTGACTTAAGTAATAAAGTAAAACAGGTAGGATAGTGAAACTTGCTTTCCTGGCTACTCCACTGCTTGGGCTATTTTGTTATTTTGTTATCAGTCTCATCACTAATGTTGTTGTAACTTAACAACGCTCCAGTTCTGAGGTTTGCCACAGCTGAAATGTTAGCTACATCTTGCTTCTGATTTCGATTTTTCGCAATATTTCCTGTAAATCAATCTAAAATTCTAACTATTTTTAGTAAAATCAAAGGAAGAAGAATCAAAAACGGCAGAGCCTGAACACCATTCATTATCTTCCGAGGGGCCTGTACCGAACGATGAGTTGATTGAGGTTCCAGGACCCCAGATAATTCAACCAGTTCTGGTCGGAGTGAAGCCATCCTCACCTATTCAGTCGGATCCAGAAGGAACGAAGCCGGTGGCTGTGCAGCACGGTGCATCAGATGTCAGAAGTGGTGAATCATCAGTACAAAAACAATTGACTCCGCATGTGTAAGTAGTTTTGATCCACATATTCATCGCTCACATATTCAGGCTAAAGAAGATCTAGGATCGTTGTTTAGGCCCCATTAACTTAAATCTAGCAAATTGCAGACCACTGATCTCATTGGATCAACATGATATTGAAGATTTGCCACCGGACGCATTTGATATCACCTTTCCGCCATTTGTCACCGTTGTACCACAACTGTTCACAATGGTCGAGGTCAATGGAAGCGAGGTGCAAGAGACTGGTGGTGCCACGGTACATCTTTTCAGCTTATCAGTCTTTGCGAAAGCGCTTTCATCAGCAAACTGATAAATGTTGAAATGAATCAGAATATTTTGTCACAAAACTAATTTATTCTGAATAATGGTTGTTTAAGAATTATGCAGACTTGACATGCACAACTTGTTATTTTACGTTGAGGAACGAGAGTTACACCAAGTAATACCGTAAATGATAATTCAGGAAGTGGCCAGACCAGCAGGAGTCGAGGAAACTGAGATCAGGACTACTGAACCAACTGCCTTGTTCACGAGTGTGAAAGATGGTCCAGACTCGACTCCAGCATCAAAAGTGACACCATCTTCATCGCAGAGACATCCCATCGAGGATATTGGTGAAGTTGAAAAAACGAAACCAGTGGAAATCGACTTTAATATTGATGAACACATGCAAACTCCTGGCGAAAAGGTCGCTGATGAGCCTGAAACATCAACTGTTCAGCAATCCGTTGAAATTCAACCAACTCAGGTTTCACTTCACCCTGTGAATTTACAAATTTTACGTTGGCCTTTTGGCGTTTTCATTGTATTTGACGTATTTACGCCAAATTTTTTTAATGGTCTATGTCCAGGATATAAAATTTTTGCGATGTATGTTTTGTAGTGAGCACTTTGACGGGAACTTCTTTTTCATGTGGTTGTCACTGTTCTGTGCACCATATACTGGCCACGGGAGGTTTGGACCAATTCATGCACCGCGGTTTCGAACGTTTTTTTCCGCACAAAATTTTTTTATGAGCTGCAGCCCACTTCGACAGGCGGCCCTTTATCTTCTTTCCTTTTTGCGTAGTTACAAAA